TTCCTGCCAGTCGAAATAAGTAGTTACCTTGCAGAATTACTATTTTTTGTAGTGTGGATTTAGTCACAGTTAAGAACTGAGTAAGGCATAGTTTTGCATTCATTTGGGGTTTTTTGGGGTTTTTTTTTTTTTTTTAAAGGGCTTAAAAGTGTGTATACAAAGCCTCATCTTTAGGAAACGAGAGAAATATTTCACTTGTATTTTAAAAGGGGGGGAAAATCATTCTATTTACAGGCAATCTAAAATAGGAAAAAGCTGCTGTCTGTGTTCTTGAATGAAGAGACTGAGTGTAGCAAGACATTTACATGTACTGTTGAGAGAAGAGCAAATGGTATGTTTTTGTAAGTGGTTTTTAGATCATTTAACTTCTGAACTGTAAGGATATTACCCAAGAACCATGTGTGGCTTTATTGGATTTTGTATGGTCTATTTAAATTGTGGAGAAAACAAAGAAAAGGAAACTGTTTTGCTGGAAGTAAAAAATTGGTGAATGTTTAAAGTGAACATTTTAATGCTTTTCAGATTTATATCAATTTCTTGCACGTTGATATAATTTTATGTTACAAATTTAGTTATAAAAATGATGCTATAAACTCATTTTAACAATGCCCTTTGGTTTCCCTGCAAACAAACTGAGATGGAGTTTAGCTAGGAAATATAAAGCAATAGTATGGCTAACAAAATACTGTTGGAGAGCTGATGTAATGTAGTATAAATGATTCGGTAGTCTGGGAGTTGGTTCTGACACTATGACTGAATTCACTCTTGGCTAGCAAGCTTTTTGCTTAATGACATCAGTATACCTAATCTGCAATAATGACAATAGTTTTATAATAATTAATTTCTTTTCCAGAAGGTCAGTAATTATTTGATTCACCTGCACATCATAGTCAACATATGAATTCCCTATAGCAATAACTTATTTGGATATGGCACATTTCCTTGCCCATTAAACAGTACAAAACAAGTTTCTCCTTCATATTTGAAACAACTTTGTGTGTAGGTATCAAATTGAGGCGCTTTTTTATTTTGGGGTTATTTTTATATCCATAGGTCTTGGTCTCCTTTCCTATGCTGGTAGTAGCTCCATTGACTTCAGTGAATGGAGAACCTGGCAAAGTCCTATGTCACCTCTCTCAAACATTAGAGAAATCTAAGACTCTTTGTGTTGTAAAACAGACTGCCTGGATTTCTGATTTAGTGTATTTTTGTTCTCAGCTAGTTTAATAGCATAACTTCTTTGAAGTGTTTGGCAGGGTCTGTGCTACATGCTTTGCTGGCAGAACTGTTTTATTTAGTGGGATTCTTAATTGATATGCTCCATTGGCAATAGCTCCTATGGTAGATGCATTTCTACCAGCAAAACTACACTTTTAAGCTGGTATGGCTTAGGGCATGGGAGAGCTAAAAGAAACCTTAATTGTAATCTAATTGCCTTGGCCTTTGACCAATTAACATGTCTATTTGTGGAGATCTGCTAATGTTTGATTACAGCAGATATTTATATATCTGCTGTAATTATATTATATACATATATATATATTTATATATGTATATCATATTCTTGTTTTGACTATTTAACTCATACATTCTCTTCTTTCAAAACTGTTTTTTTTTTTTATTATGTCCACTTTCAGAGATGCAGCAAACTAGAAATCAGTCCTCCCTCAGTCTTATACCAAATACAACTGACATTTCCTTGGGCTTAGGACCTCGAGCCTCTCTTACTTTATTTTCCAGGAAATTTACTAAAATATTTCCATAATAAATGAGCTTTTGGAATTTGTATAATTTTTCAACCTTCCGTTTTGAACCTGGTTTCCTTTGGGGTTTTGTTTTGGGTTGGTTTTTTTTTTGGGGGGGGGGGGGGGGGGGGGGGTTTGTTTTTGGGGGTTGGGGTTTTTTTTGGGGTTGGTTTTTTTTTTGGGGGGGGGGGGGTGTTGGTTGGTTTGTTTTTGAGGTTTTTTGGCTGTAAAATACTTTTATTCCGTCAGATATTTCTGTCAGTAGCAAAATATCTCCTGCAAGTCCAGTCATAATGGAAAATATAAAGGAGTTTTGCTGCTTGCCTAATGGGAGTCTTGTGGCATTCTGTATACGAAGTCCTGAAAATTGAATAAATCCCAAACTCACACTTAGGCAAGTGTCAAATAATCATACAATAGTAGCAAGATTATAGCTCCTCACTTTATCTTTCTGCTGAAGCAGCTGACAGTAGTCAGAGCTTTTTTAATTGCCTTTAGTACCTGATCTCTCTTCAACTCCAGTATCTGAGAGAGAATTTTCAGTCCTTCACAGAGGTGTTATATTTTAAGGACTCATTGTAGAGAAGCAGATATAAAAGCACTGTATCAATATACCATTTTATAATTTTCTTCATAGATCTGCTTTTTGCTCAGCTCTCCCAGATGCATATACTCTCAAGACTCTCTTAGGAAATGCCTTTGATTTATTCAGTCCCTTCTGTGTATAGTCCTAATCGAATCCTATTAGAATTTTATTTTGCAAGGAAGGTTGGACCAGGCCCTTATTCTTTTGCAAAACCAAAGAGGAGGCAAATATATAAAGACTAATTTGTTGAAGATGCCAATAGAGGGAAAGGGACTAGTGGTACCCTTCTAAAGGGTTCAGAGGACTGAATTTTCTGAATATCCAGATTTTGAAGGCACCAAGAACTTAAGTTACTAAAAGCTAGAATGTCTCATCTAAAATTACTAGACCTTAATTTCTTCCTTTTAAGAAATACTGACATACCTAAGGCAAGAGCTGTTACATTAACTATTCTGCATTTTAGTGCATGTAGTTTTTTTTCTTAGGGGAATACTTCCTTGATAAAGGTGATTGTTTAACTCTTTTAATGCTAACGAAGTGAGCGCCTCCATAACGTGGTTAGCAAATCTGTAATTTCTTGGAATATAAAAATGGCTGTCCATCTACTATGATAGCCTTTCACATGACTTTACTTTTTTTACAATATATATCAGATAATGCCAGGAAATAATATGCTGTTAAACATAAACTATATTAAGGTGGTAAACTCAAGTACTCCAAGGTTCGGAAATACAAGCAACCCTTGTTCTGTTATAACTCGGTCCCCTTATGTAGAAGAATTTTAACATGGTCTTTAATTATGTGGGCCTTTTTTTTTTTCTTTTTTCTTCCCAGACGACCTGTCTCATCACATAGAACAGTGCTCAGTTCAACTTCCTGGGTCCCAGTCCCAATCTCCACCCCAGGCTTCATTTCCCAATTTATTCGTCCGGCTGCCACTTTCACTAAGCCCTAGTTGAGCTTTTGTCCCCCTTGCATTTAGATCAGGTAGCTTCCTCCTTTGTGTTGCTTCCAAGCCAACAGGGGAGTCATTGATAGTTGGGGGAGAGGCATTCTGCTTTCCGTTCCAGTGCTTGGCTGCAACTCAGCCAAACACTAGAGGTAAAGTTTAGCTTTGCTTATGTGGTCATGGGCTGGAACGTGCTTGGTTGCTTTTTGGGTATGGAGCCTATGTAATCTGGTCAGCATTAGGGGCTGCAAGAATCTCCAGCGTACATTAATGAGGATTAAATATTTAGGTGTTTTAGTTATTAAAATCTACAAAAACTGTGCATACTGTTTGGGAGGTGTGGGGAAGTTATTGGCCAAATTTGGGTAGGTTTACAAGGGGGAAAGTTTATGTCCCTGATGCTAATGCTATCCCTGGTTGATGTTATATTCCCAGTAACAAATACACCAGTGTTAAGCTTACTTTTTTCCGAAAGAAGTTGCCATCAATTAAAAAAACTGAGTACCTTTTGTTTTGCTTTGCTTTGCGTTTCAAAGAATAAATGCATATAAAAATAGCTAAACAAACACCTGAATTATTTTGGCTGACTTCATCTGAAAATGTTGACGTGGCACAGACACATAACATGGAAAACTTCAGCTTGAACGCATAGTTTGCCATCAAACAGCTGAAAACAGTGTCTTATTATGGCATCTGTTAAGCAACCTTAATAACAGATGGCACCACTAGGACACCTACAATACCAGGAATGCATAAGCAGAACAAAAATGCAGTTTCAAGAATGTTTTATGTAAATTGAGGTTGAACTGGATTTATTTAAACCCATCATCCGCTAGTCTGATGCTCACATACAGAGCTCTACTGTAGTTCTGTGCAAGTCCTGGCATGCAATTAAAAATTTTTAAAAAATCTTTATTTGGTTTTGGTTTGTTAATCCACGATACTGTAAAAGTTAATGATTTTAGGAGACCCATTGTGATGTTTTTAGTTTACAGTTCAGTAACCCAATCTATTGTATGAACTGCTTTAGTCTATGTTGTTGATTCAGCAGCATACTTTTTAATTTTTAAAAAAACTACAGTAAAGAAAACAATATTTTTAAAAATGTCAGGTGGGATGTACTATTACATCCTTGGAAGTTTTAAATAGGAAGTTAGTCCAAAAAAACAAACAAACCAACTGGTTGGGATGGTTTAGAGATGGATGCTTCTGCCTTGAGTGAAGGGGTTCGACTGAAGTCCCTTTCAGCCCTATTTTTTAGTGATTCTAATTACTTGCCATATTTGGGAATCTAAATGACTTCTTTATTTATTCATAGTAATAGTTATGAATAAAGATGTTTCAGGGAACAATATAAAAAAAGCAGTCTAAATATAACACTTCTCTTTTGTAATCCTAGCTTTCTAAGTGTAGTTGGGATTTATAAACACTTGATAGTTTTACTGATGACAAGTTCATGAATTCAAGTTTTCATAATTCTCAATATTTTCTTTTTCTTTGCCCTTAGATACTAAGATGTATCAACAAGCATGAAGTAATAGGTTACTAATATTGAAAGAACTTTGCATTTTTCTTGCTTGGTTTTTTTTTTTGCAAAGCAGAATTTTGTGTAGTTGATGGATTTAGTCATTAAGTCTCAAATTAAATATTAGCACAATCAGAATAAAATGAGTTTGATACTATGTATATTTTATATTCTGCAAATAACTTTGTTCCACAGTGCTGCTGGTGGTGAAATCTTTGACCAGTGTGTAGCTGAAAGAGAAGAAGCTTTCAAAGAAAAAGATGTGAAGCGGCTCATGAGGCAGATTTTAGAAGGAGTTTCATTTTTACACAGAAATAATGTGGTTCATCTTGACCTCAAGGTAAGATTTCATTGTTTTTGCTGTGGTGGTTATTAATGAGCTAACTAATCCACAATATAATATAATACTAATGATAATTTATATATACAATGTACATCCAAAACTCCAGGAACCACATTCACCTTTCAGACAAGTGCAGCTCCCAGATCTAATTTGGGGAGATTCATAGAAAGTGCCATGATTTAGACCAGTCCTCCCAACCCAATAGACCTGTGATTCTCAACCTATTTGCCATAGCGGGCCACATTTGCAGTTCTCAATGTGTTATGTGGGCCGGACTCGCACAACTTGCTTCCTGTGTATCTGGATGGGCAGGAGGAAGGAGAACGCAGTGGAGGGAGATGCGTTCTGGAGTTCTCTCAGCCCTGCTGGAGTGGGGGAGGCAGGTGGATTGGAGCCCCTCATGTCTGCAGGGATCCAGTCCACCTGCCCGCCAACTCCAGCAGGGCTGAGGACTCCAGAATGGACCTCCCTGCCTTGCCTTCTCCCCCCTCCCTTCCAGTGACAGGAGCTGGGCCTGGGTTGTGCTGCAGCTGGTCCAGATAGAAATTAACGAAGGTGCTCTGCTTTAGAGCATCTTAATTTGAACCCTTATACAATGAGGGTTAATTTGTCACATGATTGGAGTGCTCTGCAGCCATGTTTTTCTGTTTGAGCATGGCTTTAGAGCTCTTTCAAGGGGCTGATCACACAACAAATGGATGTTTGACGGGTATTAGAAATGTCAGCCTTGCATTTTTTTTTTTCCAGAAAGTTATAAGCATTATAAAAAGATGTATTTTATATTGGTTAATATCATTAAGTTTCACTTGCAGCCTACAATCTTTATAAACAAGACTAGGTTTTATGTAAAGCATTCCTTTGTTAAAGTAGAATGTAAGTATCTTATGGGCTAACAACACTCTTCTTAAGAGTGTCTTGGCTGCGAATTTGATTTCTGAAGTTTGAAAAAATTAAAGGATACTGTAACCAGTCATTTAAAAAAAAAAAAAAAAAAAAAAAAAGACCAATTCACTATTAAGCTGATACAGGATTCTGGAACAGCTGTATTTTAATACAACAGACTGATATCACTCTTCAATATTTGAAAGATATTATAGTAGAAGACAAATTTGTAATTTATTCCTAATGTTCAGTTAAGAAAAATCTCTAACAGGGTAAATTCTTGAAAACATGCCACAAATACTAGGGCTGTGTGAAGCTTTGGTCACTGATTTGATTCAGCAGCCGAATCTCCAAATCTGAATCGAATCAGGAGACCCTTTAATCTCTCTAAATCGAACCGGAACCCTCCGAATCGATTTGGAGGGATTCGATGATTCGGACATGGACACAACTTTAAATGTGTTCTCTACATGCCCCAAGGTACCAGCGGCTTGTTAACACTGAGATGGTGGGGGCAGATGGAGCATCCCACAGGAGCGTGGCAGGGTCCCTAGCTCACTTGGCGGCAGACCTAGAAGTGGGCCAGAAACACTTCTGGTCCACCCCCAGGTCCACCGTGGACCACGTGCCCCCCCCCTTCCCCCTCCCGGCTCAGCAACTAGCACGTCCTTGATCTGGGGGGGCACCGAGGGTCCTCCCATGGCCGATCGCTGAGCCAGGGGGGCATGGGAGGGATCCCTGGCACGGTTGGCAGTGGACCCACAAGTGGACCAGAAGTACTTCTGGTCCACTTCTGGGTCCGCCGCCGAGCACGTGGGGGGGCCCCCCTGCACTCCTGTGGGACGCTCCATCCACCCCACCATCATCTCAGCGTTCACGAGCCGCTCCTGGTACCTTGAGGTATATAGAAAAAACATTTAAAGGTGTGTCTATGGCCGAATCGCTGATTCTCTGAATTGGCATCGAATCTTCATATTTGGATTCAGCTGATTCGAATCGGGACAGTAATCTGAATCAACTAATTGAATTGCTGTCCCCCAATTTGGGCCGAATCCGAATCGATTACGGCCTGTTTCGCACACCTCTAACAAATAGTTCTCTATGGAGAGGTATAAGTAGGGGGCATTAAGCAATACATATGGAAGTTTCAAACTTTAATAGTAATTCTACATCCTTACTGGTGAAAATGACGTATGACTGTTAGTTCGTTTCAGTTTCTGCTTATTATTTCATGTCTTGTTGTATTTGTTATTTTCTATTTTATTTTGTTTTTACTGTGGCTCATTAACTCCTAATTATTGTAATCCCCAACAGAATTTAGTCCTCTATCCCAAACACCTTTTATTAAGCAGCTGACCAATAGAAATCCCTAAAGAAGCAGTTTGCTCTTATATCTGTATTTTTCTTAGAATTTTATAAGATCAAGGACTGATTGAGGGAGGGATGGGAGAGCTGTATGTTTACACAAAATCATAAAGCTCTCCTTTATAACTAAAATGTGGTCATATCATAATATGACAAATTATTTAATACTAAGCTTTCTTTTTAGTAACCAGTGTACATAGTAGTTACACATTAGTAACCAACTAGTTTAATACGATGTCAGTTGGAGGTCTATATTCCTAGATGCACGTGTTCAAACATTATATTTCCTGTTGGCATTTTTAACAAAATTTCACAAGACATAATAGCTTTGTATATGATGACTACAACTTACATACAGTGTGGTTTACTATAAAAGCACAAATTGTTCTTGTTTGTAAATTAGTAATACTTGAACGATAAATTTGTCTGTGCACAGTACTTGAGTTCTAAGTTTTTGTATACTAAACTGCACTAAAATTTCCATAGTACTATATATTAGGCAAAAATAATCTTGCTGATATGAGAGGTTAATGCAGTCTGTTCAATCTTTACAAATTTCTACTCCCCCCCCCCCCCCCCCCCATGTCCCATTTCATAATATAAATGGACTTTTTTTAGCTTGGCTCATAACCTGAAAAGACGATATTCTAGTTGCTGAAAATCCCGTAGAGAATTTTCCTATCTAAAAGAAGATGAAGACTGATTATCCCATCTGGGTCTTAGTAAGGCACAAAAGGTGTTGCTTGTAAGCAAGGTGCTTCACTACCATAACTAAAGTTTTAATGAAGCTAAGCTAAAATGTTTTGCTTGCTCTCTAACATTAGTTTTACATTTGGACCTCTGAGGGCTTCCTGCCTTTGGTCTGGAACAGACAAAGACGTCTAGGAAGATATATTTAGCCTTTTGTGGTGGTTGATACCTCTACATTAGGTCAGACTGTGTCAAAAGAATTGAATGAAAACAGTTGTCTGAATGTTACCGCTATTGCTGCTATGTTGGTTTGTCTTCTAAGAATTAGATTAAGATTTATTCAACCTGATCCATGGCATTGACAGCCAGCCCACTTTAGATCATATCTGTCCCATGATAGTTGCAAGATTTCCCCTGTGAGACTAAACACTATCTCATTTTATTCTGTAGGAGATTCTAATGCTGACTTGATTTACCAGGGTTGCCACCTGTCCTTCTCCCCCAAAAGGGCCTGTTTCTTTTTCTTGGTGCTTGTCACATTCTGATTTCACCAGATGTTTTTGACCTTTTTTAAATGGCAAAATGCAATGAATCAGAATGCATTCACTTAGAATGGGAGTAAATCCATTCTAAGCATGTGAACACAACCCTAAATCTACTTCTTTGGTTTTAGTTTGGAATTGACACACAGACTTATATGAGAGATTCTTAAACCTCTGTCCCTCTATTTCTGGGTAAACAGCTTAGAGGTTTCCTTGCTTTTTTCCCCCCTGCTGACCGCCTTCATATTTTATTAATGAATGTCTGGTAAAATTTGAGGCGTGCATGCATGATGAACTATGAGGTTGGAAGCAGAGGAGAAGCAAATAGAGAAAGGGAGGAAAATATAGAGGAGTAAGAAGAGAACCTAATGTGTGCAAGAGCAAAATAAATGACTGTAGAAAGAAACAAAAGTGAATTGCTGGAGAATACAGCAGCATCCAGAAAAAGAAAGTGGCATAAAGCTAGGAAGAAAAAATAAAAGAATAAAATACTTGTATGAGTACAACCATTGTCACCTAGTCACTAGCTCCTTCCATCAGCGCTTAAGCAACATCTCGTATACTGTGACAAAATAATTAACAAAATCTCTGTTTTCTTCAAATTGTTGCTTTGAATACAATTTTACTAGATCTATAGAAAACTGCTTAATGCAGTGAGTAGGCAGGTTGCTGTTTTGAAAAGAATCCATTGGTTTCTTGGAATTCAGATAAAAGCTATGTTAAACTATAGTTAAGGTTGAATGTGTATCTATTACATCAAGGTTAAAGCATTGTAGAGATATACTTACCCCATAGAACAAGCATAAGAAACCTGAGAACGAAAGTTAAGATTAACATGTTTGATTTGTGTGTCCCATGAAAAAATCAAAATAAATTTAATCTGGGACTCCAGGCACCTGTGTCCTAGTGGTTATAATTCAGTTATGGTGAATTACTCTAGGCAGTTAGGTTATATAGGTGCTATAACTGTGCTTTGTTTGTGTTTCACTGGATGATTGTGATATCCTTGTAACATTTGGGTGACTAATTCTACTGTGCCTTAACTACATTTCAGTATACAAGATTCTGCTTTAGCTGCTACTTTTTCCCACTGAAGCAACGCAATGTGACTGCAGCCTTTTGAACAGTGTCTTATATTTCTTGATGCCACCGTCCCCTCCATGCTCCCGCTTCTGTGCTGTCAGGATTCACCTATCTTCCGTGAAGGAGTTTGACTTCACTCCCATTAGAAATAATAGGAGACGATGGCCATTTTGAAACAAAAGGACCTTTCTATTGCACACTTAGCTTTTTTTTCTCATTGAGACCAAGAAAAGCTGTTTTGAAAGAGGGCAGTTCTTTATGGGGTTCCATGTAGAAGAAATATTGCTTTTAATGAAATAATGTTGAGATATGAACAACAATAGCAAGTGAATGACTTTTAGTACTTAATCCTCAAATATGGCCAACACACAAGACTTGAGAACTCTCCAACAAAGAAAGTTTGAAGAGTGTCTCTCATTTCTCTAAAATCAGTTGGGGTAGTATGATTCAGGAACTAAGTTTATTAAAGGCTTAGTTTCATTTTTGCCTCAAACTAAATTTAATTTTGTTGTGATGCTTCAGAAAAATGTGCAAAAATCTAGAACTCTTGCTTCAGAGATGATACCTTTTATTTAACCACCTAAGAAATTGCAAAAGAAATCCTTTTCTACAAGCTTTCAGGCTATCTTGCCCTTCATCAGGCTCAGGGAAAATTAAAGATGATAAAAAGTCGTCATAAAAATGTTCACACTTAAGTGCTTTAGGGTCGTTGGTTGTAGCCATGTTGGCCTAAGGACATAGGCAGACTGGGTTCTTTGGGTAGATGTGATATCTTTTATTAGACCAACTAAATAGTTGAAAAATTATTCTTTGTAAGCTTTTGGGCACAAACACCCTTCTTCAGGCTTAGGGAGAGCCTGTTGGTGTTTTGTGTGCTTTCCTGGGTAGAATAGAAGGCAAAATGCAGGTCTGTGAAATTGCAAATGTGTGGCAGTGAGGTTCAAGGGAATAGGAGACAATAGGTGTGAAAAGATAGTTGGAGGAGGTAGGGGAAGGAGAGGAGGAGAAGGTGATAAGATGTAGTTGGTAAAATGCAGACCGGTTATCTGGGGTTATCAGATGGCAGGCAGGTTATAATGTACCATAAATCCAATGTCTATATTTAGTCTGATTCTTTTACTACTAAAGTGTAAAAATCAACTCAATCCTGTAGGTTCAACAAGCGAATATTGCAAGGCAAAGGGTTTTATACCAGCCCAAAGGGACCACCCTGCCTAACATGATGCAGGATGACCAGGGTGAGGATGAATATATGCCAATCATTGGTGTGGATCTTGTGAGGGAGCAACTTGAGAGTCTGGACCCCCGTAAATCAGCTGGTCCAGATAGGTTACACCCAAGACTGCTAAAGGAACTGGCAGACATTGTAGTGCAGCCACTGGCGAGGATATTTGAGAACTCGTGGCATTCAGGCGAAGTACCTGAAGATTGGAAGAGGGCCAGTGTGGTGCCTGTCTTCAACAAGGGGAGGAAAGAAGACCCGGGAAACTAGGCCAATCAGTTTGACTTCAATCTCTGGGAAGATTTTGGAAAATATCAAAGAAATCATTCTAGACAGGCTAACAGAAGGCAACATTCTGAGGGACAGCCAGCACAGGTTTGTTGTGGGTAGGTCTTGCTTAACCAATCTCATTTCCTTCTATGACCAGGTGACGTATCACCTGGACAAAAGGGAAGAGGTTGATGTCATGTATTTGGACTTAAAAAAAGCCTTTAACCTGGTGTCCCATGATATCCTCATGGACAAATGGGGCAACTGCGGCCTCAACTACTCCGCAGTCTGATGGCTGGGCAACTGGCTCCGAGGTCGGATCCAGAGAGTAGTAGTTGATGGCACCAAATCAGCATGGCACTCAGTGACTAGTGGTGTCCCCCAAGGCTCTGTTCTCAGACCTGTACTCTTTAATGTTTTCATAACCCATGTGGACACTGGTGTCAAGAGCGGACTGGCGAAGTTTGTTGACGTCGCCAAACTTTGGGGAAGAAAGTCCACACTTGAGGATAGGCTGGTGATCCAGGATAGGCTGGTGATCCAGGCCAACCTCGATAGGCTTGCAAGGTGGGCAGATGAAAACCTGATGGCATTCAATACAGACAAATGCAAGGTGCTCCACCTCGGGAATAAAAACCCACATTACACTTGTAGGCTCGGCAATGCTACACTCGCTAGCACCATGAGCAAAAGAGACTTGGGGGTCACGATTGACCGCAAGATGAATATGAGCTGGCAATGTGACACCACAGCTGGCAAAGCAAACAAAACTCTGGCTTGCATCTACCGATGCATCTTGAGCAAGTCCCAGGATGTCATTCTCCCAATGTGCTCAGCCTTGGTGAGGCCACAGCTGGAGTACTGCATCCAGTTCTGGGATTCACAGTTTAGGAAGGACGTGGAAAAGCTTGAAAGAGTCCAGAAGAGAGTCACACGTATGATCAGAGGGCAAGAGAACAGGCCTTATGAAGGGAGGCTGCGAGCTATGGGACTCTTTAGCCTGCAGAAGTGCAGGGTCAGGGGTGACTTGGTGGCAGCCTATAAGTACATAAGGGGTGTGCATCAGGATCTGGGGGAACGTCTGTTCACCAGAGCACCCCAAGGGATGACAAGGTCCAACGGTCATGATCTCCTGCAAGACCGTCTTAGGCTGGACATAAGGAAAAACTTCTTTACTATCTGAGCCCCCAAGGCCTAGAACACACTCCCCACAGGGGTGGTGCAAGCATCTACTCTGGACACTTTCAAGACACATTTGGACACTTATCTTGCTGGGATCCTTTGACCCTAGGTGACTGCCTGCCCTTTGAGCAGGGGGCTGGACCCAGTGATCTTACGAGGTCCCTTTCAGCCCTAATGTCTATGAAAGCTATTGTCTTATATATGGGCTGGGTTTTCCTGGTGCCTCTGGCTGGCTGTGCCAGTGCTAAGTGGTAAATATAATTTAGGAAATGGTCCACAGGAATTCCAGTGATTTCAGAACAAATTCATCCCTCTTCAGATGTTGGCATTTAGTTTATATGCTGGTTCTTAATAAGGATTTGTTTTAGGTGCCTACATTTTTAGTTTAAATCTTTACATTCTAGTAACATTTTAAGTATATAACTAAAAACACTTTTTTTTTTTTTAAAGTAATAATTATTGTTCAAACAGAATTAAGATTACATATCTGTTGTCCCTGTTTTTCTTTACAGACAGCAAAAATATATTTAAAGACTTTAAAGATATTGAAAATTGTGACAATTTACAAATAAACTGAGTTAGCAAAAGACACCAGCTGGTATGTGGGGGACAAACATGCTGATAGGTTCTACACGTACAGATGGTGTTAATCTATAGGGTGTTTTGGTGTGTGTTTTGTGCCATTCTCAGATTAGAACAAATCTGATTTCTCAGTTTTATAGCTACGTCTGAGTGTTGAAAGCTGCTTTTAACATAAATACCTGTTCACAGTTATCTTCAGTAAAGTGCATTTTTTTTAATGTAATAGAGAATGTACCCTCTTTATGCTTAACAGCACTGTATCTTAATAGCATGAAATAATTGCATATAGGTTTGAGTGCTTCTGGCATCTGTTAATTATTTTGTTATATTTTTCAGCCCCAAAATATTCTGCTAACTAGTAAATCTCCTTTGGGCGACATTAAGATCGTTGATTTTGGCCTTTCCAGAATAATGAAGAGTAGTGAAGAATTAAGAGAAATTATGGGAACTCCTGAGTATGTGGGTAAGTAATTAATTAATAGAGGAGCCATTAATTTGGTCTGTGAAAAAAAAGTATCTTTTTAATGCGTGGGGGAACCTAAGTTTGTTTGCAATCTTTGTGTTAAGCTGATCTCTTAAGCATTGCAGAAATGGACATGAAATTTATGTGGAACTAATATCCTACTTTAGCCTTCAGGAAAAAAATGTTCTGTCACTCTTGATAGTGAGACCCTTTATAGGTAAGCAAGCTAATCAGTGTGCTGTTAACTGAACCTAGGCCCAGCTAGTGGGAACCATAGTACAGATTTTCATAGGTTGTCCACCTCACCAGAGTTATGAGTGCTTGCCAAATTCTGACACAATAGCAGATAACTTTATGAAGTCTCCCTTTCACAGAAAAGTAACTGGCAGTGAATGTCTCTGCTTTCCAAAAGATGGAGAAAGAGTACTCTAGCTCACCTTTTTTTATATATATATATATATTTTTTCCTTATCTCACCTATTTTTTTTTCTTAAGGTGGTTTATTTATACATGTGCTATGTACTGTACTAGTCATACTGCTTTTACTTGTAGAAAAATGTAAAGAGACGAATGATTCAATAAGCAATTCTTCAGCATATTGAATCATATTAGTTGCCAACAGAAAATTAGGCAGTAGGTGTAGAGCTCGGGGGGGGAAAAAAAGAAGCTACATATGAACATAATGCAGAATATAAATATACAAACATTAATAGCAGTTCCTGAAAGAAGATATCCAGCAGAGGTGACGTAGAACAGCTAGTATTTTTTGAGTTTTGAAGATTGTAAATAACTTGTGTAGAAGTTTTTTCTATATAAAGGAAGGTTGAACAGACTTCTAGAGTCAGTAGTAAAAGCAAATGGAATAAAAACTGAAAAGAGCTATGATTACATTTTCTTTAGGCAACGAATCCAGTGATGGTTGCAAATTTGTGGTTGCTTGTTTTTTGTTTGTGGGTTGGTTTGTTTTGGGTTTTTTTTATATTTTAACTTGATACAGATTTTTCTTTAAAGTAATCTTGTCATATTCTAGATGATGAACTGCGTCTTGCATTGCTAGGTCTTCTGAAGTGCTTAGTGCTGCATTATCTAATGCTGGCTTATAATGCATGATTTTGCACATAAATGAGTGAATGTAAATTTAGTTGCAGTTTTGAACAAGAAGTGTAACCTACTTTATGCTTTTTTTCCATAATAGCTCCTGAAATCCTAAGTTATGACCCAATTAGCACAGCAACAGACATGTGGTAAGTGCAGCCTTTGATATGTACAATTTAAAAAAAATATTGAGAGCTGTTAAAAATAATGCTTTTCCTCTGTGTTTTCTGTTCTTTATATCTAGGAGCATTGGAGTACTGGCATATGTTATGTTAACAGGAATATCGCCTTTCTTAGGGGATGATAAACAAGAAACATTCTTAAATATATCTCAGATGAACGTAAATTACTCTGAAGAAGATTTTGAACTCCTCTCAGAGGCTGCTGTGGATTTCATCAAAACCCTTCTAGTTAAGAAACCCAAGTAAGTTCAATAAAAAGTTGTCTTTCAGTGTTACGGAGACTAGCAGCGTTCTAAATGCAACTGCCATCTATAAGCGTTTTCTGATGTTTTGCTAGAGCAGGGGTAGTAAAATGAGCACACATGGTAGAATTTAGCTAATTTGTAATTCATTATGCCCAGTCATGTTCGGTGTGTACAAAAAAGGTAGTCTCCATTTCTCAGCTAAAAGGAATGATGTGGCAAGTGCCATGTTATTCAGGCTTCATTTTACAGCTGCACTTCAGTATGATCAATAATTAAAATTGAATGAATTCTGACTAATAAGGCAAACAGTGGTATAGTATCCCACTCCTTTGCATTTGTTCATTCACTTACTAATATTGCAGAATGACTCAATTTGCAGCGAGTTTCCCAGTCTGCATGTAGTACTGAGGTATTTTACAGTCTTACAGAGCTGACAGTCAATAAAGTATACTTATTTGTGAAGTGACCAGATTTGACCTGGTTGCCATTAGGAAGCAAATAAGAAACCCTACAATCCTGCTTCTGTTTTGGAAAGTATCTTTGGAACTTCATTAATGCCTCTCCTTGGCTCAGCAACTGACTACATAGTTCCATAGGAAAAAAACACAGCATCAAGGATTCAAATATTGGGCTGCTTTGTATAAATTAGTATTTTGTATAATTTACCACAATGTGATAGTTCAGATAGCATGTGATTTGATACCTAAAGGATCCTCCTGTTGATTTGTTTTATAATGTATCTATTTTCTTGGCTTGCTATTGGTCCTGATTTTTCTTTACAAAAGGGGGGCACTACCACAGTTCTGTTGTTCAATGGTTGGTTGAATCAGTCTGTGCTGTTTTAATGCAAACTTACCCTGGGAAGAACTTGTTTAAACTTCCTAGTTCTTATCCAAGGTTTTTTGTTCAGTGTTCATCTTTTGATGCTCCTGGCATTCTTGAATAAGCAGCCTACCTATTTTTTTTCTTTTTTTTTGTAGGGAACGGGCAACTGCTGAAGAATGTCTTCAACACCCTTGGCTAGCACAAAGTGATATCCCAGATCCTGCATGTAGCAATAAGAGTATACCAGCTGAGGCAAACACTGCCACCCAGAAAGATGAGGATTCTGCATCTGAAAAGTCTATAGATGCCGAGAAAACTGAAGAGGAGGAATCGGTAGTGACAGAGGAGCTTATTGTAGTTGCTTCATATACACTGGGACAGTGTAGGCAGTCAGAACAAGAAAAAATAACTGATCAGAAAGCCATTTCCAAACGGTTTAAGTTTGAAGAGCCACTGCTGCAAGAAATACCAGGAGAATTCATTTACTGAACTGTATGGAACACAGTAGTTATAACTGGAAGGTAACAGTTTCTACAAGAAAAAGGTTTCTGGCCAAATGAATTGCACAGATATGCAACAAACCCTCTAGGTGAAGAGGAAAATGTTGATAAAAGACAACAGAGAAGAGTGCCGCACTTTTTTTTTTCAATTTCATGCAGTAATTAAACAGTTCGTTTTAGAGGGTTGACAGTTCACCAGCAATAATGGCTTCCTTTTTTTTTTTTTGTACTTGACACTTTATTCTTTCTTAAGAGTGTCTTCAAATACTACAGAATGCTACTTATTCCTTTGTTCTGCAGAAGCTGAGGAGTATTTTTAATGACAACAGGAATTTCTTGATTTAACTTAGTCATTTGATGTAAATATACGAAGTGAGATTCTTCTTTGACACCCTTTAAATAGTTTCACTGACCCTGGTGAAACTTTCTTCTGTGTAAGTGTCAGAAAAGAATCAGTCCAGCTGACTTGACACCCAGATTTCAAAGCCTAACAGTGTGAGCTTTCCTTTGAGCTCAAACCACGTAAAGAATCGCAAGATCATCTGACATGAACCCCAGTCTAGATTTTGGTTTAGATTTTGGTAAAGCCCTTGACAGCACCTATGCCCCATGGAGAACATAAATAAGATCAGTTCCAAAACAGCAAGGTGCAATGCTGAAGGGTGAGAGATGGTTGCTAATTAGCTACCCCTGAGGGAGCTGTTCTTCACAGATGTTAGTCTTTTTTTTTCTTTTACCTTGGTAGATGCCCTGGTAGAATCAAACTCTGTATATTTATGTCAAATGTAATGACTGGGGAGAAATGACCCATAGCCTCATTCAGCTTCACTTAAGTTAATGGAGTTTTTCCACTGACTTCAAGATCAGATTATTGGTTCTCAGTTTAAATTTAACAACCTGGAACTAGGGATAAGGTTATAATGGGAGAGTGAGGTCATTGTTGTCCTCCCAATTCTCCAGCTGCTTTTGGCAGGGGAGAGATGGATCCCTAGACTCAGTTGCATGGTCTAGTTCATCCTACACAGCAGCTGAGGAAGAATGTCCCTTTCTTTTCCAAGGGATAAATGAGGGATTGCTCTTATCTAGTTCTTCTCTCAGGCTGGCAAGTGTATATGATTGCGACCTTGAGAAGCTGTAAAAGGATTATGCTGGTCAGTGAGAATGCTCTCCTGTTAGGGTGCTTTATTGGGACCAGCTAGATGGCAAAATTTGAGAGAGATTTTGTGCGAAGAACTCGCATTGGGCTCCCTACATTTCCAACATGTTCCAATCCCAGTGCAGTTCCAAAATTCCATGTCTATGTAACTGAAGTTTAATATTATCTTGTGAACTGTTAATGTTCAGGTATTTGTTCACTTTCCCTGTGCTGTTCAGAAGTCCTCCATGATGATAAATCATATCTAAAGCTTTTTTGTCATGATACAATTAATAGAAACTCTGCCTAGTTAGGTTTTTTTTCTTCTTCCATATAACCACAACCTCTCATCTGACAACACAACCCAGAATGTGTTTACCATTTAATTTTTTGGTACTAGCAGGCAGAAGTTCCTGATACTGAAGTCGAATCTTGACATCTGTGTATCTTAACAGAAGAGGTAAATTGTAGTTTACTACTAAAAAAAAAAAAAAAAGGTAGATACGATTTAAGGATATTGGTATAATAGGATTGGTAATATGATTGTAATGGGAAGAGAAGTAATATTACCTGATTAAATGGAATGAAGAGTATTGTGTCCCAAGAGGAGAGGCTGTGTTTTGTTTTTCTTTAATGCCCGAGTGCTAGAATCTGGCTGCCTTGGTTAAAGACACACTAGGAAATTTACACTTAAATTTAACCATGTTATATTCTTCACACTTTACTTTCATCTTTGTTGCATTACATGCTGAATAGTCTTTTGATTAGAGCAACATCTCATTCCAGCAGAACCTTGTACATAATAAAGGTATGACAGTCGTTTACTCAAAAGTGATCCAAATTGAATAATTCATATTATAACCCAAAGCTGATTTTCATTTTTTCTGAAGCATTTAAAAGTTGTACGCTTAGGCCGTGCTTAAGTTTACTCCTTCTGCAGACTATATCCTCTCAAACCTGTGTTAAGCAGTTTCCACGTAAGACTTTGGATAGCCATGATAAACTATTAATAACCAAGATTGTAACAAAGGAAGGTTAGTTGTGTTTCAGTCTGCGTACTAGCTTTGTTTTCATGGACTGTGGAAATAACCAGCAGGAGTCTTTGGGTCTCTCACAGTCCTGATCCCTACCCAGTATTTATCAATTCAGTAATAGTAGTCCCCTCGCTATTTCGTCCTTTTGCAGTTTGGTCACTTAACCAGAGCAGCTTCTTTGGTCATGATGTATCAAATCTCTGTTAATATCAGGCATAATTGAAATAGGTATGCCTGGAGTTTGGGGAGATTTTTTTTAAATTATTTTTTGGGTAATACAACTATACTTCCTTGCCAAACAACAAATAGCAATAAAAGTGAGAGATTGGAACTTTGTTTATACTCTAAATCTACAAATGGAAAATACTGAAAAGAAAACATTTGATGCTTGCCATGTTTGCATATCCAAATGCCTGCTAATATTTGGAATTATCAATTCTGTTATTCTTTTACTCGTTTGCAAGTCCCATAGGAGACTTGGTTATGGTGTTTAAGCCATGACCAACTTGTTAATAGTGGATTTTGAGTAGAACAGGTCAAAAATAGATGCTGAACAGCATACAATTTGTGCTATACTTTTTAGTTTGTATTGTATGATAGTGAAACTTTAAAGTGTTTAAACTAAACAAATTATAATGTATGTGGTACAAGGCCAGCTTCCTTTGAGTTGGCTGCTTTGAGACTTCCAATGTGCTGCATTTTTGTTAACTTTTTGTGCCTTACGGTGTTTGTACAGTATTTTTAAAATCATTTAAGAATTTGTATAAAGTTTATATAAAAGTTTAATAGTTTGTAAGTTATACACAAAGCATGTTAAGTTGGTCTGTAATGGAAAAATAAAGTTTCTATTAATGTATTATTGCCAGGCTGTCAGCCAAGTCCCCACACATCTGAAGCTTTGATAGTAATTTCCATTCCACTATAAATGTGTACAGCTGTAACTGAGGAATTGCTTTTCTAAGCAGTAAAAAGGTTCTACTGAGTTTATTTGTTACTAATAGTATACATCTCAGACTTGCTCTGCCAAAGGGCAAATCTGATAGGCTAAGTTTTGAGGAGCTCAGTGATTTGTGAGAAGTGAATTTGATCCTCCATATTCAGTGAAGTAGTACTATTCAATATGTAAAAGATTGCATTTAAATGGGAACGTGCTTATACTTTAAAGTGCAGACAATAAGGGATTAATTTCTCCAGCCCATTCCTGGGAACTGAAATTGCATTCTCCACATCATCTTACAGACCTGAAATCAACTGTGCTAAGGACTTCAGTAGCTTCCTTGGACCTCAGTTCACGTGTGCCGTGGTGATGCCTTGTTACATTTTGTAGCGTAGCAACTATTTGGCTGACTGGATGGATCTGTCAAAAGATGGAAGGGGGAAAAAAGACCCTAGCTGGGTTAGAACGTGTTAGACTATAGTTAACCATATTTAGGTGTTTGGTGTAAGCAATCTTGTTGCTGCTCTGTGCCACTATAGAATAAATACTGTAGAGACTATACAGCAAACAATGAAAGGCAGTGGTGTCATGAACAGACTGGATTTTGACTGGAATAAAATGCTAATACAAGTGTTAGCTGGTTGAGAACAGACTTCAGGGACCCTGCCATGCCTCTACTTATAGCTGTCAAACACAGAAAATTGCCAGTAATCTTTTTTCCTTTATGGCAGGATTATTTTCAGTATAGATCTGATTTGGCCAGATGTCTCAAATTGCCATCTATCTAAGGATCTCGACACACAATTAATTTTAGCTTTTGGAGTTTGTGAGGGGAGTCCTGTGACCATTTTTATAAATGGGAGAAACTGAGGCACGGTTGTTTAAGTGAATTGCCTCTCATGAAAACACAGGCCGAGATGGGATACAGCCCAGACAGCCTTACGCTCTTGATCCTGTGCCTTCGTTTTTTTTTTCCACACTATGACTGCTAAAGAGGCTCCTATTGCTGTCCTTGGAAGATGCTTTTAAAGGGATGCTGTCAACTTAAATCGCACTTCTGTCTCATAACCATCTCAAAGAACATACTATTGTAACTGAAACTTGTTTGTTTACTTTGTATATTGACAGGCCTTCCTGTATAGTTTGCTGTATTTGTGTCTTTCACATGTCAACAGAGCAAATCATTTTAAATAAAATGTACAAAAAATGGAAACTGGCAGGAGAATGCAAAACTGCTTTTCTCTCTCTCTCTTTTAGTCTATTTCAAGTGGATATTCCTTTCTGTGCTACCTTTTTTTGAAACAGGATTTTCAAAGGCACCCAACTTTTTAAAAGGAGGCTAATTCTACTACTTTCTTTAAAAATCTTAAGTAGTGCATGGTGATGTAGCCTGTACCAGCTCATAATCTTAGAACTGTCTCCCAAGTAGAGTCTTCATACACCCTCAGTAGCCCTACCAGCTACTGATCATCTAAATCGAATATTATTACTTACCTTGAATGGTATAAGAACACTTCTGTTTTACTTGCCTCTCCTTGCTTTAGTCTCTTGTTCCATGAGGTTACTAGTTTCATCAGTACCACCAGATAACTAGTATGTTTGTTGTCTGAATTAGTGTTTGTAAGTTTGTACTCAGCAAATAAGAGCACGATGATGTATCCATTACCCTTTGCACCTAGAGTAATATTTTTGACATGGCACATCAGGGTTATAGGAAAATGTCACGTATGTTTGTTGGAGAGAATTTTGCAATATTTACAAATGTTAAACTTAAACTGCCATTAGAATTAATACATTTATCACTGTCATCTCTATATAGATCTCTTGCGTGTCTTCTAGTCCTGGAAACATTTAGGACCACTGTTTTATACTTACTGAATTGTAAAACACTTGGGCTGTAGACGTGAGGTACAATTTGGTTGGAGACTAGAGGTGTGGAGTAGGGGGGCGTGGGGAAGACCAACACATTTGCCCATTGTGTGAAATCCCAGCTGCTATTCTCTATAACGTATAGAGGAACAGACTCAAGGACCGTCCACTCTATTCCAACAAGAGTTGCAACAGATGTGTAATATCACCCATGTGCTCATGGTAGGGTTACGTTGCCCCTATATTTGGTCTAATCCTGATCCCTAGTTGTCAGGGGATGGTGGTAGAGTGGTGAAGCCATCTAGTTCTGTCTCCAGAAGATGAGTTTGAAGCCTAACACAATCTCATGCTGAAAACTGCCTCTGCTCATCAGCCATAAAAAGTATGTGGCTCTTCAGACTGGGGAATTAAGGCAGGCAGATGTGATGTTAACCATTTTGCTTCCTTGTGTACTGTTGGCTACAGAAACCAGCATGTCTCGACCACACTAACTCAATGGGCTGTGCAGTTGGAGTGAACTGATCTCTCCTTTGTTAAAGTGGCTCAGTCCCTGAGCCAATGAGACTTCAATATCCTATCCAAAATTCCTGTCCTTAGATTGTTTGTGCCCCCCCCCGGCATGGGCACACACCAGACTATAAAATAACTATTTAAAAATGAATTTTAGAGGGTAAAAATTTCCTCATGCACAGTTGCCAAGATCAGACTCCAGAAAAAAAAAATTCCATTTCTTAGGGGGGATGGTTCTTTTAAATGTATAAATCTGGTAAACCAGACTTGTAATCAATTTTGGTGGTGCTTAAGCTGTCACAGGTATGTCAGATGTGGCTGGCTTATCTTTTGTTCTTTTTTTGGTATTCCCAATAGAAGCTGCTACAAAAGCTCTTCTGTGGTGTGCCTTTCCCCTGGGTTGTTTTACTCGAGTCTTTCCAACGAGTAGGATGAATAGGGCACAGCAAATTCTGCTTTGTGAGGTTTTGCTACAGCGTGGGCACAACCACCTGATTCATTACAATGTAGACACAGCAGTTTGTCTACTTTGGGCCAGCACAAGGTGAGCAACTGGCATACCTGATCAACCAAGGAGCCATAGACTTTTTTTTTTTTTTTTTAACACAGATACTTCTATAGTTTTTTAAAAGGAGCTAAGTAGGTGGTGCCATTGCCTATTCACAGATAAATCTGTTAAATAGCTAAAACTGTTTTGTAACCCAAATTTATAGGAGGGCATCTATAAAGACTAAAAAAGGCCTGATTTTGAGATGCATTGTGTTTTCATTCTCATCTATGCAAAATAGCTGGGGTGATTCAATTGTACAGAAGGAAATGACTACTCGGAGAATAAAGCAATGTCAAGGTGGACCCAAACTGGCAGCTGCAGTTTCAGGGGGCCTTGTGGAATAAGAGACTTATGTAGCTTTACTATTGGTATTACAGTACTGCCGTGGAGGCCAAACTCTGCTTGAAGCTTCCTTGTCCAAGCATGTAGTAAGTGACCTTGAGGAAAAGGCAAGCTAAAAGAAGAGAGACAAGCCACAAAGGGTGAGGCATGAATTCATCCTTATTTACAAAGCAGGGACCTGAACTAGGGAGATGAACAATGATTCAAGGCATGGGTCAGAATTGAGAACTGAATGCTTATCTCTGCTCCTGCTCGAATATTTACTACTTAAGCACAATTCCTACTTGAGAGGCATGTCTACAAATGCTCCCTAACAACACTGTTCAGGCAGTCTCTATTCAAACAAAATTTAGCAGAAATATTTAATTGCTGAATCCATTTCTTTTAAACTGATTGTCCCTTTGTTAATATACTTGCCAATAAATAATGTTCTTGCCCCAGACTCTCTTGTTACTACTTACTTTAGGGTTATGCATTTTCTGTTACAGAAGTGATTAATGTCATAGAAAAACGTAAAACTGGGAAGGACCTCAGGAGGTTATCTAGACTCACTCCATACTGTTAAGGTGACTGTATTTGGATCTTGGGGAACACTGGATTTGCAGCTCAATAAAAGGTTTTAACCTGTGGCCTAGCAAGCTGTTTAACCAGAAGGCAGAATGATATATTAAAAGTAACATTGCAAGACATTAGGCAATCATTTTTCTAACAATATAGTATTGTTGTAAGATATATAGTTCTTATATTTAAGATTTTGCTTATGATGCTTATGCTAAGCCAGCTGTTTGCTTATGCTAAGTAACCATCTCAACTGTGTTAACCATTTTCAAACAAGTCTGTGAGTCTGCGTGCTGTGAATAAGGTGAAGTCTTAGGATTGTGGAAAATGGTATAACATGGGACTGAAAAACAGACTGGAATGTGAAAAACAACACGTAACTGGTAATAGAACCCAAGATAAACATAGGTGAAAAGGTGAACGGTGATTGGTGAAGATGTCTCCAGAAGCTTCCAGGTTTTGGTCAAAGTCTGCCCATTGACCAAAGAAAAAAAGTCAAGGTCTTAGATGTGCGCTTATAGCAAAAAGGCATGTAAACAAATGAAATGCATAGGCAATTCCATGCTAATGAAACAGTAAACAGGCAGAGCTTGAAATAGGAGGGAATATGGGTGGAACAAACGAGGGACCAAGATGGAGTAAATGTTAATGAGTATGAACCAAGGTGTATAAATGTGGAAAGAACTAATGTTCATTGCAGGTCCCTGGTTTGTTGGTTTTTTGGGAGCTTTGCCCAAAGCTGTCTCCAGTCTGAATAAAGCTGTTGTGAGCAATCTGTGCTGGTGTTTGCTCCCCGAGTAACTGGATCGCTCTGGTCATTGGGCACCGCATGGAGTTGGGCTCTAACACATAGTGAGCCTAGATTTAAACCACCTGTCAGGCCATCCTAAACAAATGTTGTTCTAACCTTCACTTTAAAAAAAAGAAAAGGAAAGTGGAGTTGCTATGGTCAATCTGTTAGTGTTCATCCAACCTCATTCTTAAAGTTCTTCCTAAAATCCAACCTAAATTGCCCTTGTTGCAATTTAAGTACATTACATCATGCATGCAAAGGAATGAAAACTCAACCCCTCCTCCCTCTTCCCCCTTCCAAAAAAAAAAAATCTCCAAAAATGTAAGGTTAATGAACAACAACTCTTAGTAAAACTGATGACTAGAAAGTGAATACATACATCTTCAAACTAATTTAAATGGGGAAGAAGTTTAAAGTGTATATGATGGGCCAAGAGAATGGACTTTACAAGATCAAAGTTTAATTGGCTCTTCTAGAAGGCATTTGTTAAAAAAAGATTCATACTATAAATCGGAATTAGGGGGCTAGGCTGGATTAGGCTCAATTGGAATTAGGGGGCTAGGCTGGATTAGGCTCAATTAGTGACAACCAACACAAGAGAGTTAAAGTGCATAAACAGACTATTCAACAAAATGAAGACACCTGGCTTCAGACTGTTCTGCTTCATAAGGAAAGACTGAGGGTCACACGGGAGGCTTTCTTCTCTTTAGCAGTGTTGGCTCTTAAAGCAGTCATTCAGAAACAAATTAATATTTAGCATTGGCTTATAGCGGCCAATTGTCAGCTGTCCCACCACAGGAACAATTAGTGAAATTAAAAATCTGGCAAATGCAAAACCTTAAGATGTAAGTTTTTCTTCCTTGCAGTACATAGCTGGGCTCTAGATGTTATTTCCCAGAGTGCACCAGGCTACTTGGCTGCCTCTTGCTGCACCTGGGGCCTTTTTGAAATCAGCAGCTGTGGGGTGGGCTGTGCCTTAATTGAAGCCACAAGTAGGAAGTAACTGATTGTTTAAAAAGCCAGGCCCTTTTCCCACACCCCTTCACCCCACACACTACTTCAACTACAAGTGTTTAAGGGAGAGAAGGTTGCGTCTCAAACAGCTCCAAGACCAATAGGTATGGAAGCTGCTATAAACTGATGGCTTTACAATCAGGGAAAACCCAAAATAGAGTTTTTAAATGTAGAAGTTATGGAGTCTTCTTGTTGGCTTACTATTTTAGCACTGCAGTAGTTATTTTCTAATACTCACCAGTATTCCTGAGGGCTTTCTCAGTGCTCAGATTTAAAGAAAACAAATTTGGAGGAAGTGTGAAATATTTTGCATGAAATACCTTTGTATCATGTGTATTAATAATGTTTTTCAGATGGGATGAACTGCAACCATTAAGAGATGTCTTATCTCTGCTTCCTCCTTCTTAGGAACTCCACCTCTCAAAAATCAAACCAAACCTTGACTAACTAAAAAAGAAAAGTTCTGTTTTGTCATCCAAATTTGGAAAGCTGCATTTTTTGTTCTGTCCTGGCTGAGGGTTGAACTCCTGTGCACAGGAGTGTTAACCTGTTAATGTCAGAAGCAAAAATAATAGCCCTAGCAAAGCTAAAGCTGGAACATTATGTAGCCTGTTAGAGGCTGCATTGTTCCTTTTAATGAAGCTGCAATGTTCTCATGTATTTAGGCTGGGATTATCCAATGGTACTAAGAGAACTTGCTGCTCAACTCTTGCTGACTTTGGGCACTTAATCCCCTAATACTTTGGGTAATCCTGGTTTACATGGGCATGGAATGGTAAAGAACTGTGAGCAAGTCTAGGGTTGTGGGTGATGTTGTTATACATAAATTGGGAGGAACTCTATTGGACTTAGAATGGAGCTGGCGCTCTCCAGCTATCTCCTCTCTCCTTGAAAGATTCCTGTGCCCTTTAGTCTCTGCGGCTATGAAAAGCTCCACTGACAGAGGTGGTTGGTTCAACCTTGGTTTCCCAACTGAGGTGTGGTGTTCAGATTACAACAAGCAAATTCATGTAGTAAACAACAGTTGTGTAACAGCTCCTGCTAGTTGAGCTCTGGGAGGCTGTCACTTCTGGCTCTCTACTACATCTCTGAAATGTGTATGTGATCCACCTTCTCTACTGAACAAGCTCTAGGGCTAGGGACAGAAGTTGCACGTAAACTGGTTTAAGTGATCAGAAACCGGTTCAACTCTATAACACGACAGAGGTTCAGTGCACTTAAACCATGTTCAAAATGGCCAAAACTGGTTTAAGATAAACCTGGCTGGAAACATTATCAGACTGAACTGATTTGGGTCAAACCAGTTTATGAAACTTCTGTCCCAGACCTAGGAGTTAAAATGTTAAAAAATATTGCAAGTTTCTATAGCTTGCATTAAATTACATAAGTGATCTGTGTCCATAAGCAGGGTTTCATTGTCCACCTTTGTTAATTGGCTGAACTACTAGGACTTGCCCCTTGAACTACTAGGTTTTACATTCATAGGTTAAAATGGAGGGGAAAAAACTTTAGTTGAAGAGTCAATCATAGTTTGGCAGTCCATTTTCAATAATCAAATCTTGTTTAAGCTAATGCATGTAGTTGCAGCTTTGCTGACTTGTGATGTTATTAACTTTGGGACATCCCGTTGCTCCTGTGTTGCTTCAGGGTACCTAAATGGACTAGCTACTTGCAGTACTTTACTAGAAAGCAAAGGAATACAAGAGCAGGGAACTGTTGCAATTCTCGAAAGGTGTTTTTCATGTCTGATCATTAGCCTCATCTTTCTTATGCTGCTGAGTTTTAATTTGCATGTCGGTTAACTGCCATTGCATCTATTGTTAAATATCAGCAAAATCTGCATCTTCTAACATACAACTGTGGAGCCATTTGCTCAAGTCTCTTTTAACAGTGGATGTTGTACCTTAATATAAAGCGTTGATAACTAAGATATTCCAGTTAATCATAATGGAGGCTGTCAAGTGCTTTTATTAAAATGCCTGGCGAAGGGTGACTGCGCCCAAAAGCTTGCTAAGGACTCTCTTTTCCAACTACTCAGTTGGTCTAATAAAAGATAGTACCTCTACCCAAAGAACCCTGCCTGCCTTTATTAAAATGTAGTATTATGATGAGTAACTTTCATCACTGATGCACACTCTCTCTGCTACTTTTCTCTTGCCTTTGCTTCAGTGGCTTGCTTTTGTCCTGCTCTAGATAAGTTCGCTTGTTACAGTGAGGAATTATGTCAGGCAATCTGAACTGTACAATTTGACTAACTGCCTGGCCCCAGAGAAAGCAATATAGCTGTCCAGCTTGAGGTTCATCAGAGGACAAAATCTACCAGCAATTTATTTGTGGTAAGAAGCATTCAGGATAGCAGCACATACAAGATGCAGCATAACTACTTTGGAACAATAGTATTGTAAAATCTTTATTTTGGGTTGCTCCTGTACACACAAATCAATGAAGCTAAGAGGATGCCAACACAGAATCCAACACTAGAGAGAACTGGCTGTAAAGTATCCATTTGTGACTGTTTTAAACATACATAGTATGATGTAACCACTCAATAGATCCTTCGAGTTAACAGGACTTGCAAAGCCAATGCCTCTGTCTATTCCTCTTGCCCATCGGCTTTCTCTATAGGTGAACGGTATACTGGAATGTTATGGCCATCTTTGAGTTTCAATGTGACATCCTGGAGACACCAGCTGATGCAAAACAAAAAAGTATTTAACTTTTAATTGATTAATTTTAATATTGAGGCAAAATCTATTTATAAATTTTTAAATACTAGGAAGGAAGAACTAAATCATTTAACACATTAAATGTTTTTCCTTTAAAAAACAAACAAACAAACAAACCCAAGTCTTAGTTGTAGAAACTTGCACCTATCATCCAAGTTTTCAAATGCTTTTAAATTAGACGCTTCTGTTTCTCAGTATGGCAAGTCAGCCCTTGCCTAGGTTGTCTCTGCCTGTGGAGCCAGATCACATTACTGAAGGATTATTATAGCTTGGAAGCCTTTGGCATCCCCTTCTTCCTGAACATGAAGTTGACATGAGGGTAAAAGGAAGAAGCAATTTATTAAGAACAAGCTGAGTAATTTAGGGAGCGAGACCTACTGATGCAGTACACAAAGGGACACCCTTTCACTCTTCAAAGCTCTGGTCCAAGCTCATTTTTGTGAGCACTGTCAGCATTAGTTTAAAGGATGGTCCCAGGATGCGTTTTTCATAAGCACTTGTCTCTGAACCATCGCTTCTGAAATAGACTTTAAACACACCTACGTTACTTTGTGGTTGAAAATGTGCACCTCTGTGCTGTGTCTGTTTCTCCTACATTCTAGACCAGGGGTGGCCAACCTGCGGCTCTTCAGAAGTTGATGTGGAAAGATTCGAGGAGACGTACAAGTCAGAACATTTTTAACACTGTGGATTCCTGTTTGAAATCTCTGGGTTCATCTTGTGAATCATGTTTACAAACCTTTGCACAAGCACATGCTGACCAGCTTCCAAAGTCACCAGGTGCTTGTGCAAAGATCCAAGGAGACTCATATTAACTTCTGAAGAGCTGCAAGTGGCTCCGGAGCTGCGGGTTGGCCACCCTGAAGCAGTGATTCTCAACCAGGGTGATGTGGCACCCCAGGGCAGAGTACCTTCAGATCCTGTTGAGGGTGCTACATGGTGCCATGAAATGTTTGCTAACCTAATGGTGCTAATGTGATTCACAAGATAAACCCAGAGATGTCAAACAGGAATCCACAGTATTAAAAATCTTCTGAGTTGTGGTCTTTTTTGATCTTTGCAACCAAAGGTTGTCGTAAAAAAGAGTGAAAACTAAAAGCTGGCATTTTCTGAGGGGTGCCTTGAGTCTAAGAGTAAGCAGTCTGGAGTATCTTCCATCTAAGGAGATTGTGAACTACTTGAAGGGTTTTTTTTTTTATATATAGTGTGTAGACAAGCCAACTACATAGCAGGGTTGCATAGGTACAGTTGATATTCGCTCTTGAGTAATTGAGAACTAGGTGTTTGAAGAGTCCATCAGTACTACCAACAGTAACTATGCAGGAACCATGTTTTTGCCCCCTTTCTAGTGGCAAAGATGTTCCTGAAAAATGCATTTAAAGTATGCTTCCCAGGCACTCTGATGTGCACATTTAAAACTCATCTGTTTTAGGCACTTCTATTTAGCATTTAAGTGTCTCAGTCTTTATCCTTTCAACATCCCTAAGGAGTAGGGAAGTGCTGTTATTCCCATTGAACAAATGAGGAACTGAGGAATGGAGAGAGTAAGACTTGGCTTCTCAGAAGGATGTAGGCAAACTGAAATCAAGGGGGTTAGCACTCATGACTTTGGAGGAGCTGATCTTCAGTAACCTACCCAAGGTGGGACACGCTCCATGGCAGAGCAGATGAACAGGAACCTGAACTGTCCAAGTGCTGGCTGGTGCCTTAACTGATGCACTTCATATTTTTGCTTCCCACGTTCTTAAGAGCAATATGGTAAATCCTCCTTGTCTATTCATGAGATTAAAAATAATACTGTAGGGCTGGCTGCTGCTAAACAGAATTGCATCACTATTGGATTTCTAAATGGCAAAGCACTGGGTAAACTGAGCACAAAATGTTTTCTGACAACTTTTAAGAACAAATGCATGTGAGAGAACTTTTAATCTTCTGAAACCTTTCTTAATAATCCATAGAGATGAGACTTCTTGATATATATAAAATAATTTCTTAATTATTGATTAATTCTTAGAAATCAGCTTGGCCTTAAGGGGGCAATTTGCTGGAAGCATTTCAAGCCACTAGATCCATAATATGGATTTATATATTGTGGTAGAGAGGTGATGCTTTTGTCTGAGCCCAATTCATCTTTTGGGGGAACTGATGAAAATGATGATGTGATCTGCAATTAACCTCCATGGGCTTCCTAAAATCTGAGAACAGTGCAAGTTATATTGTAATACCTAAGGATAACCAGACTTTATCTCTGCATTTTCCTATGGGGTGAAGGGAAGAGGTTAAGTTTGATTCAGTGGGCCACTTTATACACTCAATAGTGGGTTACAGTCGTGGGCGACCTGCTGCCTCCCAAGTCTGGGGGGCACCCACAGGCACTGACGATGGGGCTGGAGCTGGTAAGCTCCTGCAGGTGCCAGTGGTGGCAACCCTGTCAGGGGAAGCATGTGCCCCCCCACACACCGCCTATGGTTACATTTAAAGGAAGGGAGTACTGGACATGCAATTTTGACCCGATGTCCTCTGATTTGTATTCAATGGCTAGGACATCTAAAATAGACTAGCTAGAGATGAACATAATCTGTCACTAACAGCCTGCAAATGTAGCATTTCAGAAGCTCTTCAAATGCATTTCCTCTTTATTTTCATAATACCTAATAACTGAATCAAATGTCTTGTCCTCTTTCCCCTGTTTTCTCCCATCCCAAAACTACAACATATGTCTTTCTCCCCGCCCCCGCCTTCCATACACACCTGTTAGTATCTCTCTCCGAATTGATGAAGAGATACCCCGTTGATTTGGTTCCAGATATTGGTATCTTTATCTGCAGGTGGTTTAAAAAAAAAAAAAAAAATTGCTGAAAGCTTTTCACTGATTCACATGGCTGAAAAGAGCGTTTTGTTTCTTTCATAGTCAAGAAGATGCTAAAACAATCTTACTCTTGTAACTTAAATTTGGATGTTCTGGTGCTTCTCTGCTTCACTAAACTTTAAAGGGTGGGTGGGTGGATGGGGGGCAGAGATGATTTACCTTTGTTGTGTACAAACCGATGGTAAAGGAACATTCTCTCTCAAGACCTCAGCTCTCTTTTTAATGGACATCTCGTGCTGTGTTTTAGTTGGGGTTTTTTTTTTTTTTTTAAGCATGTCATCTTTGTAAATACTTGAAGATCCCCAGATGACAAGTGTCTATGTAATTGTTTATGACAATTACAAGTGTGTAGGTTGAGAGATTCAAAACAGGACTCCATTAAAATGAATGGACTAGTGCATCCAAATCTCTCTGGCAACTCTGAATGCTACCATTAACATGGTAAATAAACCAAGCTACAGTTGCATGCTGCCCTCCTGCTAGCACTTGCAGTCTAATATTTGAAGAAAATAAGAGGCTAACTTGTAGTGCCTTCAGAAATAAAAGTGTAAAGCCTTCTCAAGTGGGTCCAACTGGCAGGGTTTGGGAGTGCAGTGGAGAGATATCTTTCACAGGCTGATGTACTAAGGATCTTGCATTGTGTTCTAGCCAGCTACTATGGCTGGAGAATGAGATGGAGAAGAAAGTTCTTGGTTTATGGCTTAGGAGATGGAAGATAAAAAGGTCTGACTTCCTCTTGACTCACTTAAACCTGAGTAGCACTCTTAAGGTGGCTTACAAATGGGGAAGTCTGTGTGGTGGAGCAGGCTTGATGTTTTCTTCATGTTTTTATTAGAAATTGAAGTCTTGCCTAGACGGCTCTAAGGCAGGGGTGGTTAACCTGCCACAAATGGTGCAGGCAGTTCCTGGGTATGGCATGCAGCAGATCGGTGAGATGACAGGCACCACAGTGGCTGGTTAGGCAGGGACTGGAGGACAGAGGGTAGGGTGCAGATTAGCAGACTGGGCAGGAGGAGGGGATCAGAGTTGTCCTCAAAGAGGTGCAGGGCTTAGTTTGTGGCACACCTGTCAAAAAGGTTGGCCTCCACTTCTCTAAGAACACTTGGAGAACCAGGAAGTTTGACATGAGTGCAAAATCTCACTGCAAGGAGAAGAAGAGTGGGATTTTATCCAGATGGTTTTAAAGTTCCTTTGAAAACCCTGTAATGACAATGCCCTACATTTGGAAGAAAAGTATTGATTCAAAACACCCTGTACTCCTTTACAGTTACTGAGAGAGCTCTTGGGTTCACACTGAAAACCTCCAACAAAGGCAGGGAAGACTAGACCTTTCTTGTCTACATCTAGACTTTCTCTTTGGCCACTGAAGTTAACCCATGATACAAAGCTTTGGTGTAGACACAACATGCCAAGTGTGGCTTGCTGTGACTTCAAATGAAGTCACTGTAGGGGTGTGTATCATACTGGTGCAATGTAGATGCCTATGTCCCAAGGAAAATCTATGGATCTTAGATGCTGCAATCATAGAGGTACTTCTGAAAATTTTACCCAGTGGCTCTGTAATAGTGTAGTTAACCTAATGGCCTAAAATCCCATGGTAGGCAATGCTTTAAGTAAAAAAAAACAAGCAGGAAGAAAAAAGTCTTATGAAGGAAAGGAAAATTCCTTTCAAACTGCCTGTCTATATAATACCTAACTATGAGTAGGTACACTGTTCCTTTTCCTTCACCACTCTTTTTAAGGCATAGTCCAAAACATAAATGAATACTTTGGCCTCAGTTTTTTGGTTGTGTGTGTTGTTTTGTTTTTTCCCCCAAGGAGAATGGAAAATGAACAACAATGCATGGGCAGGATGGCTAATGAGACCATACACATACAGGCATTGCCATATCCAAGAGGGAGGCAAAACTCAAAAGAGTTTGCTGGGCTCAAGTCGGGGCACTAGATAAGCTTCTTCATCCCAGAATGGATTTGTGATTTCATGTGCCAGTTCTTTCATCAGTCGGAAGTATTTTTATTAAGTTTAAATAGGGAGTTGTACATCAGGAGACAACCAAACCTACTGCCTGCATTTGAAAAAAGATGAGAGAAGCATTCTGGGCAGCCACTGACCTGTTAGTCTTCCTTCAACAGGATGTCAGGTTTTAGAATGAGCTGTGAAGAAACAAATAATTTAAAGACTTGGAGCACAAGGAAAACAGGATAAAAAGTGAGACCTATACCAAAGACAGATCATGCTACCCTATCCCAGTATCAGTTTCTTTGATAAGATAACTGATCCTCCTCTTTAGACAAAGGAAATGCAGGAGACTTAATCTAGTTGGACTGTAGCAGATGAGAAATTTAGTTAAACTGGAGAAGTTGGTTATAGCGCAAAGATTGTAAGTGGGTGAGGAGCTGACTAATGGGGAAATGAAAATGGGCTGAACTGAAAGGGCTGTTGGGCTAAACAGAGATGGCAAGGTGAGTTTCTCAAGGACCTGTCTTGGGACTGGGTTTATTTTATGTTGGTCGTTCATGACCTTGACATGGAAAGGAAAAAGGTGCTCATGAAACTTGCTGATGACAATGTGAAGGGGCATGGGCAATAACGGGAAGACCAGAACATCAAACAGGACAAACTAGCTGGCCTTGAGAACTGGGCTAATAGAAATAGGTTAAAATTTTAGAAGAACAAAGCATGAGGTTTGTACTTGAAGACTAATGAGAGCTTCTGCTATAAGACAGTCCCTCATCAGTTGGAAAGAGCGGAGGAAAAAGGCCTCGGTTAGTCATCTTGACTGACTAAAAAATCCGTGTGACATTGTTTACTTATGCAATTTTACAGTTGCATCAGTGAGGGATTTCCTGTAGAGATAGGGAAGCTTTGAAGCTACCATACAGGGTACAAGTAACACTACCTCCTACACACTATGTACAATTCTGGTCAACCCTGTTCAAGATGGATAGATAGATGTGCAGAGAAGAGCTCTGGGATGACCGGAGGAATGGAGAGCTCACATTGGCTTGTTTAAGTATGTGCCTACCCCTCTGCATTTTACAGAGCACATTAAATGCCCAGAAGAGAGAAGAGGTAGTTTGAGTTAGTCTGTGCCAACATTCTCTTTTAGTATAGACTGAGGCTGGAAATTGAGAAAAAGGTTAGTAACCACTGGAGGAATGAAGTCTGGAACAGCCTCCCAAATAAGCAGTGGAGATGAAGATGACAACTTTCAAGATGGACTTCAAGTTTATTAAGGGGATTATTTGACCCAGTTGCCTGTGGTAGCTAGGTACTTCGTTCAATGACTCACCAGGTCTCTTGTCATCCTAAATTGCTAGCTTACATAACAAGATGACGGACTCATTCTTGCTATTCTGTCTAGTACCATATATCAGAGCCAGAGGCTTTGAAGATCCCACCCCCAGCCTCCATAAGTGAATAAGGGGCACAAACCCTCTGGGCTCTGAATGGGGCTTCTGCTCTTAAGTCTCCCACTTCTAAAAATAATCTGACCTTTGGCCTCCCCTCTTCACCCCTATCCCCACTGCTACAGAGCCATGCTGAAGGGTCACAGCTGTTACCTGTGCTCTTGCCATGTCAACACGGTTACTCTTGTCCATCAATCCGATGCTGTGCACTCTCAGTGGGGGCGCACCTAGCGCTTCCAATGCTGCAGGTTCACTGTTAAGCTGCTCAAGACCCTTCTGATAATACTGTGTCCTGGTAAAACTTTCTAAGCAGGAGAGACAGACTGGTGTAAAGAGATTAGAATGCGGAACAAGAGGAGAAACGATCCAACCCAGGGGTCACCAATGTTTTTGGGTAGTGCTAAAACACGTGCAAGCTCAACTTCTAAGATGTGGGAGTGCCAGTGATGGACAGTGAGAGAGCCATAGGAGACCCAATCCTTCTTGTGGCAGTGCAGCCCCAGCCCCTTCGCCGTCTGCCCCAAGGCATGTGTGTCAAGCAAAATGCCTTCGTGTGCCATGCTTGGGCACCCATGCTGGGGGTTGCCTACCCCAACCCTAACCTCTTCTCTTTCCCCCAGTGTTCCTAGAAAAAAGAACAGCTTTAACCAACAGTCATTTGTTCAATAGGTTCAGGATACCAACACTGAAGAAGTTCCTGCAGTAAGAGAGGGCTGCTTATACAACATGTTTAAGTGACCCGGGCCCTGAATTTATGACAAGTGAAATGTGCATTTAAGAAAAGACCTACTGCCAAGTTTGCTTGCTGTTCTGATTTCTGTTTGCTACCCACACAAACGATCAGCAGCACGAGCACTTAAAATTGTTCTGAATCCGTTCAACGGTTTGGGGTTTCTTGTTTTTTAAATGAACTGTACAAAATATTCAGGAACTGAAAAAGTCCACTGGCACTGACCTAGTATGGCAGCAGCTGCCTTTGACCTCAGAGGTTCACTTGAGCCTTAGCTCATAGAAAGAAAGTTGATTGTGCTTGGAGGATTCATTGGAGGGGTACCATAAAGCTTTCTCAGTAACCCCAGGAAAGACGGTAAAGTACCAGCTATTGCAGCATAGTAAGTGAGGGGTCAGAATGTGGCAATGTAGAGAAATACTGTGGCAGTGGAAAGAAACTGTAGTTTGGCCATGGGGAAATGTCTTCTAATAGCGATTGCTGTTGGCAGGGAGGAAGAACTATTGGTCCTTCTAGTGCCAGAAAGGTTTGCCTGAAATTGGTTATCAAGGAGCATGTGCTGAAGACTTTCCCCCGAAACACGTGCTACTGAAATTCCCTGTGCTCCCTGAAATCAGTTGGTATGTCAGAATGCTGCATGTGAATAAAAATCCTACTCTGACTACTTGTGCTCCTACCTCCCCTGTCTTGTCTTAAATCTTCCAAGGAGTCTCCCTCAGTGCTCTGGAAGGAGGCAGTTCCCAGAAAAACAGTGTCAAGCAAACCTTTCTGGCCCTAAAAGGGTTATCCCTCCTTCCCCTGCAACAGCCATTGGTAGTTGAGAATGCACAGTACCTAGCGGGATGGGGCTCTGTGACTCTATCTTAGACTTGTCTGTGGGTCTATATTTCCTCTCCCCTCTGTCGTCCTGGCAAAGAATGGCCGCTCTTGTTCTCTGCTGGAAGATGGTTTATTGGCCCATGGTAAGCAGTTACCCAGGCTGCTTTCAAGCATGCTACAACCAGCCCCACTACAGCACCAGACCCTGGGTGGGGAAACTAGCTGGTCCCCTAAACCCTTTCCCAGTCTCAGCTGTGCCCAAGACACTTATGAGCTCTACTAAAGTATTTAGCATGAAAATATTTGTCTTGCTATTTGTAGTAAGCCAATGGAGCAGGGCTCTCTGAAAGGAGAGCAGGTACACAACAGCTGGCTAGGATGAATGTCTGCCTCTGACAGGCTGAAATCAGGGAGTTTACAATATATTGTATACATGTAGATATTTCAGAAGGAACAGGGGGACAGGAAGGGAGGCTGCCTGGGTTGTGGGTCTCGCTCCCTGCCACCATGCTATCTCTGTGTCCCTAGAAGTTCTGGGGTTCATCCAAAAAGGTCCAACGAAGGACCAGTTGCACATCTGATAAGAGGAAGTACAGGTTTTCCTTGCTTTATGCAGGTTCTATATGTGCAAATTCGCTCTTATGCAATGACCCTTTTTATACCAAAAATTCATTATATGCAAGGTAAATTCACTCGCATGTGATTGGTGCAGTGGAAGCCCACAGTCAGCTACTGTGTGGTGCATTGTGGGAGTGACGCACACCAAAATAGTCTCCTGCGTGGATCTGTGCTCCTCACTTGTTGTCTACGATGCATGTTTCTGTAGCTGCCATCCTCATTATGATAGCACCCTGTACTTGTGTGTACTGTCTGCTGTTGGTGAGTACCAAAATTGTCTTGTAAAAGTGGTAGAAATGGGTCTGGGGGTCAGTACAGTCGAAATGTTGGAACATATCCCTATTTGTTACATTGTAAAGTGGGTTCCCTTTGTGCGAATTTGAGTTATGCACTGTTTTCTAGGAATGTATGTACAGCATAAAGCAAGGGAAACCTGTAGTGTGATTCACTGGCAACAGCAAAGACTAAAAGGAAGGTGGTGGCAGGGAGAAGTCTAGGTTCAAACACGGCTTGTCTTGGCCCTCCAGAAGAGAAAAGCAGGAACTGGAACATCACAGAAACCAAACAAGCAGTGCTGGCTGCTCATCTTCAAGACTAAAGATGAAAAAACAATACTACCTTGCAATATGGCACCTTCTGTTCCTGTTAAATGCTAATGACAAGCCTAACTCTAAATGAAGGCTGTCCTTTCATAATGAAAAGCCCCCTTGCCTTGTAATCAAACTAACAGAAAGAACCTTCTGTGATGATCAATATTTCACCAGAGCAGCAGCTGTGTGAAGTACCTTGATTATCTACCTAAATGGCTTGGGGAGTTAAAGTATCTGCCATGACAGTGAAAGTAAATCCTTCAAGAGACTTCTAGATGGGAATGTTAAAATATATATATTTGCCAATACCCTTGTAAAATACAGAAGCTGACTTTAACAACTCGGAAGCTTATCTATCTGTCATTAAGACCTGCATTTCAAAGCTCAAGGGCATGAGTTGTCTCAAGCGAAGGACTGCTTTCCAGCCATCTGATTTATTATTAAAATGTGCAAAGACAATGGAGCAGTTTCACAACCCCTTATCCAAGGACTTGAGGAACAGGCTCTACCACACTTCTCTGGCAGTGTCCTCAGATGTAAGGTTAAGCAAAATGCAATCTGATTTGACAGATACTGCAAGGGAATGGCATGAGGAGAGGTAGCCTGGAGAACTCTGCTTAATGGAAACAAAGCCTTGTGTTGTATGTCTGGAAAAAACCTGGGGACAGGGAAGGGGAAAAGATCACTGGCTTGTACTAATTATTATGTTAATTTTCAGCCAGTCAAAAGTAGCAAATAGATGATGGCAGAGTTAGTCAAGTCCAAGGGGCCCC